TGAGGTTTTTAGACCTTGCCTGCAGAATAGGAAAAATACTTCATTGATTTTCATTTCACCAGAAAAAGTAAGATGTGCCCAGAAGCAGCATATCAGATAATGCTCAGAGAAGTGTTGCTTATGAGGGTCCATATATTCTTAGGGAGCACTTGAAAGGTTTGCTCTCTCAGATATTCAAGGCCACAAACTTTCATCACTCCTTGCTTCCACATGAATCATGCATTTATTTTACATTATCTGTTTTCCTCATCAACAAAAATATTTAAAATACATAACTCCTATTAAATTTAATGATCAACTGGGTTTTTGTAACCTTCCTGCATGTTGACCCCTACAATCTTACCCAAACCTTGAGGGAACCAAACAAAAAAACACAGTTCTGCTCTTTGTACTTAGATAATAAACAGGCACAGAACATCAGGAAATGTTTTCTATGCATGCCCAGCCAGGAATGGAAATTGGAGTCAGATCATGGTTCAATGAGGTAATTGCCACCAGCAGATGCTAAAATGCCCTCAGTTAAAACCACCAAACTGAGCAAGTTAGAACAAGATGTCTCAACTATGAAAACCCCTGAGCATATGCTAAGCCCTTGAAGCTGCTATGCCTGTTGCACACAAGAGGAAGAGCAGGCAACCCGTTTAGGCACCTTTCTACCCAGGCTTAGCACTAATTTTGCAAGGAGTGTTTTTTAAGATGGAATTTTCATTGCACTTCACATAGGTGGCTGCAAAACTAGAACACAGAAGGACAAATTCCAGGCAGACCAGACCTCCTGAGATGTGTGGCAGCTGTTTGAAGAACATTTTCTTGATGGAAAACACTGAAGTGGGACCGGATTACTCAGGACTCAGCATCCCCATATAAATCGGAGATTTATCTTTTTGTGAGGGGGAACACTTGGCAGCTGCCTTCTGACGTTCCTCCTTCTCAGCTTCCAGAATGTAAGCTGGCATTTGTGCGCTTAGAGACAAATACTGCTGTGCTGTCACTGTTATCCCAGCTGTGTTCCTTATGGAAGTTTCCAGTTGAACACACAGCTGAGTCTCCTGACGTGTGCAGATGTACCTGACGTACAGCAAAAACACCAGGAGATGCCAGTTTTTGGACACACAGACTCACAGTGCAGGCAAAAAACTGCTGTAATACAGACTGCCCAACCTGCCAGCCTGTCACTGTTTTTAGAGATTTCAAGGCTCTGGGGCTTTTTTCATCTCACTATAACCCTTACTAACAAGCTTTTGATATGCTATTATTGTTAAATTAACCAAATCTGTCCAAAAGCAGCATTTCACTGCTTCATATTTTTCAAAAAAATTCTTTACTCACCGAAACACAAAATTATCAGGCATTGTACTTTTTTTTTAAATGGCCAAGTTATTTTTCAATTTTTTTTTACCCCCACAAATATACATTCCGTTGCACACAATCCAATAGTGAATAAAAACAGAAGACAACTTAGGAACTATAGTAATTTTTGTCTCTTTTCTCCTTTGGTGAATTATGAATAATTCTACATGCAAAATATGGGAAAAAAGAGGCTAATTGGTGTTGTGATATATATATATGGAACACACTTGTTGATCTCAACTTGTAGTATCTCCCTTTAATACTCTTCAATACAGGAAAAGTTACCACAATTAAAAACAAACAAACAACACCCCCACACAAAAAAACCCAAACAAACAAACAAAAAAAACAACTCAAAAAAGAATGAATACATAGCCTATAAATATTGAAATGGTACGTTTAAAATGGTTTGTCACTCTTTTATGAAAACAAAGGAATGAAAAAAAAGTCTCAGAGTATTGCATATGAAGCAAGTACAGTCCTGATTAATGCAGTTTTTCTCCCAGTATTCACTGAAGGTTCTTGGTGGCTGCTCTGCAAAATTTGGGTCATGTTAGACTGGGATTAGCAATTACAGTGACACCTCTTTGGCATCTAGCTCCTAACAGGTCTTCTCATAACCTGCTTCTGATAACCCCTGTGTAACATTGCCATGCCATGAAACTCTAAATAAGACCAAAAATAATCTATAAGGCATCTTCTGTAAAACAAAAGATTTCAGTTTTCAAATGTTTTTGATTATGTAGCAATCTTAGGGAGAAACACTGCATGCCTTTCATAGTCTCCTTAAAAAGAGGGGGAAAAGGGAACACCAAGGTTGCATTTGTTCAATCCCATTATTCCAATTTTCATTTTTATATTGAAGATACTTTCACCACAGAGACATGACAATTTAGAAAACAGAAAGCACCAGATATTTTCAGTGCAAATACCTTATATCTCATCTCTGACATATAACTCAGTGACGTACCAAACATTGTCTGAGGCTGTGTATCAGCAATCTTCCTCGACATGGAAGATGCAGAAAAGATGGATGTGACATAGCATTGGGATAATGAGCCTCCAGAAAGCCAAATAAATGTGCAAGCATGGAAATAGGCAACTTGAGCTGAATGCTGTTAAGCACATCTCGTAAGAGCTGATCACAGAAGCCACTGCAAGGAACAACACTCAGTGAAACAGAGTTGAAACAACATAACAATCACGCCTCAAAGCAGCTGATCTGCATCAAGTTGTGCTACGATGCAATGACACTCAAATTCAGCTGATGAACTCAAGAATAGAGTCATCCCTACATATTGAATCACTTAATAATATAACATGCTAATAAAATATTTTGAGACCTTCACTATTTTTTTCCTAAAATCAGTTACAGAAAATACACAAATGAGTCCTAGTGAAGAGTCAGAAAATCTCGTCAATCAGACCACTAAAATATTACACTCCGTATATGCATAAATTCTTTCTGGAGAAGCACTCATTAATACAATCATATCAACCTTAAACATCTATGTACAGACAGAAATTTCAAATAAGACTGAGATAGCAAATTAAACACACGCACTAAGGCATGAAAAAGCCTAGAACAGCAGGATGTTTTGAGTAACCCCTAAATTCCCCGAATACCAGAAGTCTGCACTAAATACAGTATTTTGTCTTTTAGGGGAATGCTGCTTTCGTATCTGTTGTGTCAGTAAATAATTGTAAAGCTATGTCACTCTACTTCCAGATAGATAGATTCCTGCTGTGCATTCTCTCTCCTGCATTATATAACCTGCAGAGTGCAGATCAAGGAGAAGACTGATGATCCTTCTGTAATTAGAGTTCCCTAATGATGCCAACATGGGTTCTAGAACAATGACCTGGCTACAAAGTACCTCTCTGTCTTCTGAGCCCTTACAATCTCTTACGCAGGCAGCAATCACAAGCCACTAGAGAGAAAGAAAGAATACAATTTATTTGTACTTTTATTAAGAAACTCAAAGATATTACTCTGTTCATTTCAAATTGGTGATATCTACAATCTCCCTTATAGATCACCAAAGAATATATTTTAACAAAATCCAAAGAAAGTTCATTACTGCCTCACCACACTCTTATCATCAAAACAGGAAACAATGGATTTCAGGGATCTCTGTATTTAAGAAACTTGTGTTTGTTTGCATGGTAGTTGACTTGCACAGTTCATTTACGGCAATCAATCAGTGGCAAAGCCACTGCAAAGTGAACTACCCTTGAATACAGATTATGTAGAATATTAATTCAGTAATAATTGAGTTCTTGGAGGCTCACAGGTAAAGAGACTAATGTATTATACATCTCACATTATGCTGTGAGAGGTCAGAGGACTTTGAAGCCTTAGAAGACCAAAACCATTAACAGCGCATTGTCAAGAGGGAAAAACACCCTGAATTTCCAAGACACACAAACTTAAGATCAACTTGGACAAATGTGGCGGAAAAGTGGAAACCTTACAAAGTACAGCCAATCTTTGGGAAAAAAAAAATCAATACCTGCACTGTTTAAACTTTTCTAAAAGTCACAAAAGTATCATCAGTGTAATACTGCAGCCCACAGGTAATTAACATGCACTGAAATATCTTCTTCTTTTAGAGATAAAGGTAACCAAAGAGGTGGTTTCATCTATGAATACTATTTCAAGAAACTGTTCTCAGACAATGTTTAGAAACCACAAACCAATGACCAAATGAAAAGAAGAAAACCAAATCCACAGATACAAACCACCCCCTCTTCCACAGGGAACCAGCCAGGATGCCATTCCCAGCTTCAAGCTGCTGCTCCAGAAGGATACAGTTCTGTGGATCTAACATTACTCTGCCAGCCCAATGCAGATGGCACAGCCTGTGGTGGGGGATCTGAAGTGGCCCCAAATCCCTGTGTGCTACCACCACCTGAATGCCACCCAAGGAGATGCAATCTGATTTATGATTAAATTCCGAAAATGTAACTTGGTTTAACTATTCCTACACGTAACCCAACACCTAAAAGTCACCATTTCTGGGCAATGAAAGGCTACAGATACAGTCGTCACAACTACAGTTATGGCAGGGTCTGAGCTGTTTGTGAAACCTCAAGTTTATTTACTTCCATTACAAAAGAAGAGAGGACTCCAAGTGAAGAATGGTCCCAGATCATCCATGGATACTGTAACCAGCTACAGCTTGTATTTCTGATGCTGGACAGCAGTCCTTTGTCAGTCTTTCACATGTTAATGCTGTAAATTCTCCCACTTTTCTTTCCTTCTCTTTTCCCTCCCACAAGGTGGTGATCGAAATCCCTTGAGTAACTTGGGCATGTATTTTGTGGCAAGGTACAAATTTAAGGGAGAAGAAGTCCAGGAAGAACAATATTTAAAACTCCCTTCTCTTCTACCTCAGAGACCACACTTATCAAAAACTAGTCCTAGAGCAGCACACCACCCCAAACCATGTCTGCCACCCTATGATTTCCCTAACAACACACGGAGTAAGATACTTAATGCAGTGTATTTACACACACCTCTCTGCCCAGGGCTCAGGGCAGTTGGCCTAATACAGCAAGTTCCACATAGAGGTTTTTTTGTCTGAAAACATTATACAGTACAAAAGGCAGCTGACTGACCATCTGGGCTCCACAAAGGACACAGTATGTATCTTTAGAGAACATATCTTTATTTAATAGAAGTTTTTTGCTCCAATATACAAAATAAGGGACTGCAATCCCAATCAACATTTACATAGTTACACAGCAAATAAATTCCACCATTTACAACAACTGACAACTTTCCCACACTCCTCACTGTATTACAGTCAAGAAAAAATCCTATATTGTTTTACATACCAATCAGTTATATTTCAAATTTCTGTCTCTTAATTCTGTTTTACATTGCAGTTTCTGACATCAGTTTAATTAAAAACTTACAATTATTTCAGCTGCACTAAAAGAAAAATGAAATATATAATTTGGAATACTATCTCAAAACCCCTATACAAAATAAAAGTCAGTATCTTATAAAAATACATAGCAGGAGTAAAACCAGTGAAACAACAAAAATGTTTTGAATTTTGTTAAAGTATAAAACATTTATCAACTAGCCTCAGTTTTCAACTACATTAAAACAAAAGGGGAAAAAAAACCAAAAAAAAAAGAAAAAATAAGAAAAAAAGAAAAAGACCAAACAAATTAGCAAAAGGTAATATGACAGTTCTTCAGCAATACTGTACCTTTAGTATGTAAAGGACTTCATCCTTCTAACATGCACCATTATTCAATTGATTTACCCCTTAAACCCTTTTTCTATTGAAAGCAAAAAATAGATGTTAACATTATTTGAATCCTTTCAGAAAAATCCAATCATATTTTTCTGCACCTCCCACAATATTTAGGCTTTACTTTGCAATGCTGGTAGTTTAATCATGATATATATCTTCTATAAAAGAATTCTAGCCAAACCAAGGTATTAGAAACTCTGCATCTTACAAAAGCAATTTGTTATAGTATGATAGTTGCTAAATAGCCCAATTTATTTAGTGACCCTGTTAAAGATTTGTTCAACTGAGTGAATAGGTGAAGTCATTTCCTGAGCTAAAAGATACAGGTAAGTAAATAGTTATAGCAGCAGACAGGAGACATTCTTTTTAAAAGTTGTAACAGTATCAACAAAATAACCTTAGAAAATTACAGTAATGTAAAAATCACTGGCTGACAAGGGAGTGACAAGGACATCCAAGACCTGATTGCCATAATCTGGAATGCACATTCAATGACCTTCCAGAAATTACATTCAGCTACTGTCACACAATGTACTCCTAGGTGAAGAATGTAAAATAATTCACATTTTTTACAGATCAGGTGTTTTGTCAAGATTTAATTCTTAATGCTGTTTCATAAACCTTAAGCAAGGTAAACTTAGTTTCAAAAATTTCCACTATACAGGACTTAAATATTATTACTTTCACAGGAATGGTATCTTCAGTCTCATGAAATTCCAAACCTATTTCTTCTTATTACTCAGACTTAATTTAATGCTTAACAGATGTTGATCTGCTTTTAGGAGAGGAAATAATATTCTTAAAATTATTGACTTCGATCCAAATAATTCTAATTTGCCTAGAGTATGAACCATTAACAAATCATCAAAGAACTACAAAGACTGGTATACCACCACTGCACCAACATTTTCTTATGATTTACATCTTCTACGCAACAGTTTGATCACTTTTTTCACCCATTAATGGGAAGAGTCTATTCTGATTTAATTAAATAAAGTACCTGAGTTAGATACCAGTTCCTCCAGAAGGAAATCTCTCTTCTGTGTTATAAATTTTTTTCAGATATTGTAGGTGTCACTTTTGTAATTTTTATTGTCTCTCCTTTAATATTTAAACATAATTAGTTTAAATTCAAAGGGATATATAAAATTTCCAGTACTTGTTAGAATAGAGCACAGTACACAAGATCCTAAGTTACAATAATTTATAAATAAAAATAAACTATTACAAACCAAATCTTTCCCCATACGGAGATTAAAAGCCATAACCTTGACTGATTTTTCCCGATCACACATTATAAATAATGTAAGCTTCTCCAGAGAAGCAAAGCATCCTTGCCTCCCTGACACCAGTTTACACCTTCAGTTAAACCACTTCCATCAAGAAGGCAATTGAGTTGGGCCCAGACATAACTTCTTGCTTACATGTTAACCCTCCAAACCTCATTCTTTCAAACTTAAGCACAAGAAACTCATTTCACAGGGAATCCTTTACCTTTTATACACAAAGTCTGTATAAAATACAGATTTCTAAGGCTCCTAAACTGCACCAATCTGGCAGCGCAGTGAGAACCTGATTCAAAGGCCACTGAAGCCCATGGAAGGCTTCAGTAGGCTTTGAACTAGGACCACAGAGATGGTATTCCCCAAAGGAAAGCTCCTGCAAGAGTGGCTGGTATCTCTCTTTTTGCTTTTATGGGATGCAGTGGAGATGTGTAGTCAGCATGATACCTGAGCAAATAAAATGAAAACGATACAAAAGTTTTAAGAACCCCAAACTCTTTTCTTAGTTGTGTGCAAACTGTGCTATTGCCCCTAGAGCTCCCTGCTTTCCTTCTCTTCAGTGCTTGCTCCATTCCAGGAAAGAGAAGATGTGAGACACAAAAATCTCTCTTCACTACAGCTCCCCCTCAGTCCCGAGACTGATAGAAGAGGATGTAACCAGACTCAGAGTTCTTTGAGATGTCTGATGTCAACCCGTAGAATTCTTCAATAGCTTGTGCATCAATTTTCTGGATGTAAAAACACAAAAAATTGAAGTAGGAATGTCTTGCATAATATACACATAAAATTAGGCTCGACTCTAAAAGTTATTGCCAAACCAAATTAACTTTCACATAATTACATAAAACAATAAAATCCAAATAATTCTTAAACTTGTCATGTCTCAGCTTCCCCTCAGCTATCAACTGCACAGAGGGCAGCAGCTATGTATGTTTTATATATAAATTTTTAAGTGTTGTTGTAAGTATTGCATTAAGTTCCTATGTATTGTAAGCTAAAACCCAATTTATCTACATCATTACTTGTCTTCTTTCCACAGAATAGTTTATTAAACAATGGTGAAAGACAGTAGTCATAAAGAAAGGAGTTTCTTTTAAGTACAAAAGCCTAAATGGAATTCAAAGTATTCAAAGTGCAGTCAAATTGTAAGGCACAGCTTTGCACACACAATTATTGCTCATTTAGACTGGGGTTGAAGCCTCTTTTCATCAGCACACCAGTCGCTCTACTTTAGATAATCAGATCCACAAGGGGGGTGCATGTGCTCTGGTTGGGCTTACCTCAACAATATCATCATCAAAAAGCAACCAAAAATCATGACTCTTCACTATTGCAATATAATGTCCTCTGTTAGGGCCACTGCAAAATAAAATTAGGAAAGAACATAAACCATAACACACATATATGTGGAGATGCATTCCCTTTAATTATTTTTCTTGTAGAAAAGCAATACTTAACAGTAATTAAAATGGCTACCACTACAATTTCTGTTGGATGTGTCTTGTCTTTTTTTTTTTTACTTTCTACTTAGATCATCATCATAAAATGGTCTTACTTATTATGCTAAATAAAGGTTTACAATTTCAAATAAGGAATGAGAAGCACAGGCACTGAAAATAAAGCAGTTCTGGAACTGCTGAACTGGCCAGCAGCACTCCCATGGTTTTTGTGCCTAGATCAGGGAGGGAAGGTTGCCGCCCCCGAGGGAGAGGTCTGTGCACCAGATCACCAACACTGTGAAAAGAGCATGGGCATCTCCTTCCTGCCCACAGCTCCAAGAATGGAAAAGTCCCCAAGAAGGCAGAAATGGTCAGAAGGGTCAGAAAGAATTTGCCTTATAATCCAGAACAAGACTGCACTAGAAAACTATGGCACAAAGGCTTATTTTCCAAAATTGTCCAATTTGGGACTTATTTATCTTAACTGTACTCTTTAGTCATTGTAAGAACACTGAATAAGAGGAGCAAATTGCCCAAAGAGAAAGTAAAGTAGGATTCCCAGTAACGAAACTGTGACCACTGCAACCTAATCTAATGTCAAAGTTACCCTGTTTTGAGTTTTAGTATTTGACTTCACAACATAAATTATTCTGTGATTCTAGATGTCAAATCATGATTTTCAGCTTTTCAACTTGGGGGCTTTTATCCACTCAATAAGAAGTTTGTAGAACAACCTGGTTTTAAGCCTTGAAGCCACAAGAACACTTGTTGAATATAGCAAAATCTAACAGTCCTACTTTTAAAGTAATCTAGAAAACTCATAATGCATGGCTATAGTTCAGGAAATGTTGCTCGAGACTGAAGAAAAAAAAAACCACACCCTAAAGGAAATGCTTTATAAATTAATCTTTCTATAATGCTTTCCTTCCTAAGAAAGCTTTTTTCCTTAGAAACTGTTTTTAAATATTATTATACGATAATGTGCATTTTGTGTTGGGTTTCTTTTAAACACTGTTAAGTTCATATCTAGATCTGTAACATGAAATACAGTTACCATGTTTCACAATGATTTCTCAAACAACAAGGCCATAATTTCCGTCAGGACTGGTAGGTTTTCCCCCCAATATTTTTTTTCCTAAAAAAAGTTTCTTTTTAAGAGGTCTTTAAATGCTATTGATTTATATGATACTGGGTGCTTTGTGTTGTTCTTTTAAGAACAGTTATGTTTATTAAAAAAATCCCTATTTTAAAGCAGAGTAATTACCTTCCACAATGGACTACCACAGCAACAAGGTCATACATTCTGTCAGGGTTGGTGGCATCTCCTGAGGTGTTAAATAAACGAAGCTCTAAAGGAAAAACTACTCTATAAGAGAGTTTTGTGTATCGATGCAGCTGATCCATGTACTTAAATCTCTTCAAATGGAGAGCTAGAATCATAGGCAGCTTTTTTACTTTCATCCTGAAAAAAGGAACAAACCCAAAAAAAAGCAGTATTTCCAATATTCATTCTAAACATTCAGTTGGTATCAACAAACAAGAAACTTGTTTTACTGAAGTCTTTAAAAACCTTTGTAAGCATTAAAAGAAACCAAAATAATCAGCTGTTTAAAAGCATATTGTGTTGCTAAACTAAAGGAAGTTTTTAACTTAAAGAGAGAACTGAAAATTTTTAAACTGAGTATTTAAAACAGTAAAATATGGTATATAACAACAGCTGTGATGAGCTCACATAATAATTTAGACATAAAGAGCACATAGCACAGAATTCAATCTTTAAGTATATCTACCCATAGCTTTCCAGAGTTCCAAAAGCAAAACCTAGATCCTACTTGATTTACAGTGCAAGTATTGCCACAGAGCGATTTCAGAGGTCCTGTTCCAGCTGAATTTCCCAGTAAACCAGCCAAGTCAAACAAGCTCTTTAAAATAAGCTTTGTTACACCACTTTGTCACGTAAGTATTACTCCAAGCTTTCCTAGCCATTCATTTAAAATGTCCATGGAACACAAATAGACCACTGTTATGCACCTACCTCCTGCTATCCAAACAAGATAAGGCTGAGCTCTGGCACAAAAATTTCATACAAATGTTGCAGCAGTGTTTTACGGCAGTCAAAGCCAGAAAGTGATCTAGTTCTACTGAGGGGTCAATAGCTCCTTTCCCTAGGCATCAGGTATTGAGTGCCTACAAATCCTCCTCAGCCAACCATAGCTGGCCTGGCAGCAAACACAGACTTCCAAATCTTTGGGCAATAAATCTGCCCATCCTAACAGAACAACCAAACCAAAGTGCTCTGCTTCTTGGCACAGCCAAATGCCTTAGAGATCGGCACGGTGCTGACTTTTCAAACTTTAACCCCCTAAGGCAGCTCAAAAGTCTCTGCAATACAGCCCAGGTTTCAGACATGTCTATTAGGACCACACTTTCAGAATATCAGGAAAATTGTAAAAGGCAACTGGTTTTCAAAAGATAGGGGACTGTGGACAAATTCCTTGATAACTCACCTGCCCACAAGGGAACTAGGAAAGGAAAACAGCTGGAGCAGGGCAGAAAGATGACAGAGCAACTAATTTTTAGGGTGAGTTACATTTTTATTATATTATGGCTACAATTTCTGCTTTCTTTTCAAAACTAAGTCTTCTCCTTATAATGTAACTGTGTTTGGTAATAGGAGCTCATTCAGTGATGAAGAAATTTGGTACACCATCTTTGCTAGCTGAGTAGTCACCATCACAGATAAACTGTTTATTAATAGAGATGGAAGAAAAGTATGACTGTAGTGAAACTGAACTTACACCCCACGTGAAATCCAAAATATAAGCAATTAAAGCTGTGTTTTTGCCATGGAAGTGCCTACAGTACAAGTTAATGTCAACTCAATTTATATTGGTCATGGCTCAGATTACCTCCTACACAGAAAAAGAGCTCAGGCAACAGAAAACATGCCAGGTCTGGATTCACAACCTCGACCAGACACCAATTAGGGAGCTTAGGCAACGTGTGAAGGCAGACTTGGCAGATGAGATATGCAAAAGCTGTGCATGCAATCTATGGTAAGCCAAATAACCAGCAGCAGTGGTATAACCAGTAGAGCATGTCAGAGCTCCCACTCCTTCAGCTAAATACTTTCTCAGATAATAAATAACCACACAGTTCACAAACTGACAGGTTTTTCAAAGGTGTAAACAAGACTAGAATTCTTAGGCAGACAAGAATTGGTTTTAAACAAACATAATGATTTTCTGGCTTCCACAGAACTTCTGATGATTTTCAGGAGCACTGTCAAGCAGTTTAGTACAACTAATCAAACATGTTTAAGAAATCAGAAACTCAGTTAACAGCAACAGTTACAAAAAGTCCTATCAAACTGAATCTTTCAGCAACTGGAAAAAAAATTATTTTCAAAACAAAACTAAGTTTAAAAAGCCACATGCAATCAATGATTTTTCATCATTGCCAATTATCTTTGATTAGTCACCAACAGTTTGTTTTAACTCGGCTTCCTAACTTATTTTTCTCTTAAGACTATTCATTTTCCCATTTGTACAATAAATAATGATCAAAGGAGTCCCAAAATACTTTACAGGGATTCTCACTACTCATGGAAAGGGACACACTGAATACTAGCAAGAGGAAAGCAAGTTACTTTTAAGTGGAAGAAAATTAAGGGGAAAAAGGTGTTCTCTCCTTTACACACACACAGAAAAGAAATACCAGAGTATTTTCACTTAATGCATGGGTTATTTTTCTCCTTCCCCAACTGTTCCATACCTTTTATGCGCTTCTTGCTTACTGCGACACTCTTCACAGTAATACTTGTACTCACTGCACAGAGTTTCTGTGTTGCTGAAACCCCTGAGTCAAAGAAAGAAAGCTGCAAGTACTAACTTTAAATATGAAATATCCATATATAAATATGAAATATCCATGTACAATAACAACATAACATAATACATTTCAATCTACATAAGATAGAACTGGCAGCTTATTTCCCACTTTCTGAGTAACAGGTAAAGGCAAATCACAAAAAACTGGATGCTTGTGTCTACCTTAAACAGTGAGTGATTGAAGTATTCTGCTCCACATCAACGGAAAGGTCTAGGAAGTCTTCATCCTTGCTGCTTACCTGCATGAAAAGAAGAACCAATAGAATATAGTTAAAACAAATAATACTAATTTACCTCTGTTTTTCAGTTCCACTTTTTAGTGACAGAATGCATCTTTTACCCTATAATATCCTTTAAAAAATTTTGCAAGTGGCCCTTCTGTTTCAGAGATTTGCTGTATTTTTTCTTTTTTTTTTAGGAAGGGTGAAGTGTGCATGAATCTCTGGGTGTATGTAATGCCAGTTGTCATTATGCTGTGATTTCAGATCAACGATATTAATGCCAAGTTTCTTCTACACCTCAGATTTTTCAAAAGAACAGAATCACTGCGGTTCTTCTGCTTAATGCTCTGACTTCTGTTCTTCTCTAAGTCCCTTGCATTGAAAGTTATGTATTTGCATGTCACAGTGTACCTAATAAACAGCATGAATATTTTGAAGTCTCTTCCAGGCTGGACTCATACTCAGCAGACAGTAAATTTGGCAAATGAGAGCTTGGTCTGACAGAGGCAGAACAGTAGCCAATTCTCACAAAAATGTAAGAAAAACAAGAATGTAAAACAGAACATTCTAGAAGCAGAAAATAAATTCCACCACAAACCCTGACAAATGATGAAAAAACCCACAGCTGCCCTGAAAACCAACTATGTTATTAAGTTTTAAAAACCAGATATATGCAACCTTAACTTTTGCCTGCTAGTGTGTCCTCTCTGTATCTAAAGATAGTCAATGTCATTCATGACAATGGTCTCTGCCTAGATACAGTAGTAAATGCTTTTAGAAAAGATACCTTGCTGCAGTTTCTTGACTGAATGCAGGAAATGTGAAATGGCTACAGGGAAATAATGTAAATTGATCTTTTAAATATATGAGATTTGTGTTCCCCTTTCAACTCAGAATGGAAAAAAAAAGTGGAAAGTTAGTCTCTGATAATCAAGAGAGTAGAAACACACAGCTCCTAAGGGCAGTGTACATGGAGAAAAAAATAAAAAGCCAGGTGCTCGAGACGATCATATTTGAGAATTAATAACTTCGGGCAAATCCAAACACCCAGGAAATTAAGTTGAAAGCTTCTGTTAATATCTGTGAGAGGACTGGGCTCCCACTGTTCTGCTGCTGGTCTTTCCAAGAGCTAAGTGTGCATGTCAAAAAACGCCACTGTGTCAGTACACATCATTGCTACTGCAATATTCAGATACTCAAGTATAGTGTTTATACTTTTGGAGAGATCACAGAACACATTAGGAAAACTTCCAAAATGTTCAGAGTGGGGGAAAAAAACCACCTGCACCTTCAGTGTGCTGCACATTTCCTGTATTCAGGGATGTATTATGGTTTAGTTGTGTGGACAATTTTTCAAAATATCTCCTTGCAAATCACTCTTGGAATTATCAGACTGGCATTTATTACATTAAGAACTCTGGTGAAAATCACCGTAACTGGGGATTAAGAATGGCTCGGAAAAAAAAATCAGTTCTAGAAAATACTCTGCTGCTGTCTTCAGCAAGGACAGCTGGAATTACAGAGTCATGTGATCAGTGTTATTCAGACATGCAATTAGATAATTCTTCATCTTCTGGTCTAATCAAAGAAAATTACATGAAATAATACAGATTTCACATGCAGCTTTATCCCACACAAAAGCTGTAAGGGCAATGGAGAGGAGGGAAGGGATGTGTTCTTCGTTAAAAAGAGATTGGTACTGAAAACAGACATTCACAAAAGGACAATTTCCATTCTCTGTGAATGGCCTTAAAACACCTCACTCAGGTTAGCCAGAACAGCGCACTTAGGATCATGAGGAACCATTAAAGGCTTTACTGCAAGAATAGCCAAGTGGATTTTTCCATTTATTTTGGTGACTTATAAATTGCTATTCTTAAGATTCTTTGAGCCTTAGTATTTGAACAGATTTTTCTAAGATGAACTCATAATAGTTTTAATTAAAAAAAAAAAAACAACAATTAAAAGCCACTCTGGAGTCTTACAAGCCTACCCCCCACCTTTTGTAAAGGTTCTGTTTCAAATAAACATCACTAAGCTTCTTAGACTACAATGAGCAATGCTATATATTTCAATCACCTATGGAATGAAAAAAGATGGGCATGATCAGAAAACCTCAGCACTTGCAGAATTGAGCCCTGATGTGTTCAAAAAGCTGTCTCGGTGCTCCTAACAGGAACATCTGAGTAATAGTGAGGACTTTGGATGTTCCAGTGTTCTGCCTGAAGAGAATGGTGCGCTGCTCTCACGTCAAGGACATAATCTGCACCCACACAGCTCAGCTGTACTCTGATGACCAAAGCTGCACAGAACACAAAGCTCAGAAGGCTGACACTCACAGAATCCATTATTTCTTATGCTTGGGAATTTCACTGGCAGTGTGAATTTGCTCACTGGCAAAAGAGCTTTTGTAGCTCTAGACTGCCATGTGTACTAAAACAGAAAGTATTTTCAAAAGAAGCTGAAACAAAAAGTGTGTGATTTATCTTGGTTAAAAAAAAAAAAAAGAAAATTGAGCAGAGCTAAAGGCTCTGTAGTACTCATAGAAGAAAGAACACTGGGATTTTCCTTATTGCCTTCTCTCAGTTAAAGCAGAATTGAGTCAAAGAATTTTATGCCTTGTAGAGTCACTTGATTCCAACAGCAAGACCATCACCTAGAGACTGACAATTTCCTATATTTCTCTGTAGAAGTAGTGGCCACATTTAGCTGTTTGAAATGTAATCTTAATGAAGCCAATTATAATACTTTCTGGTTTACTGTTATCCTTCCTTAAACTATGAGAGAAATCAGTAAAACTAATTAACTTCCAGATAATTTCTATAAATTAGCCATAAAATTTACATTCACTTCATCATTCTGCCTCTACCAAGGAAGGATGAAAGCACTATAAAGAGACCACATTAAAAACACGTAAAGACAATTACAATCCTTTTGTAACATATGCATTTAATAAAGTGGCTTGATTCACAACACAAATCTTTGTTAAAGAACCATATCTATATTCCTTATACTCCACTGTCATACATAAACTAAGAATGCATCTTTAGATAGTTCAATTTTTATCTTTAAGATGGGCTAACGGAGCAGTGCATCTGGAAGGATGCTCTTTTCCACAACCAGGACAACCAAAACCAGAATAAAATTTTCCTCATTTTAGGAACATAGAGGAGGTTGGTCCAATTAAAAGATTATGTCTGTCACTTGCAGCAAAGATATGTGTTATGCTTTATATTAAATATGCAATAATTTTCCAATTTAAATTAAAAATATACTAGGGCTATTGTCTTGTCATTAAGAAGCAGTAATTCATCCACTATTGCTTGTAATCTTGTACATGAGCTATTTTCAAGTACTCCTAACATTTTAGCTTATATTTCTAAACATTCTGAAAGAATCTAAATGCCAACAGCTTCTAATAAGCATCAAAACAATCATATATACTTAGTATTTTTAAAAATAAGACACAATCCACAATAATATTACCCATTTAATGTGTCCAAATGTGTTTCTAAGTGCTCATTCCCAGGTCACTGTGTTTTAGACACAAGCTGATATACTAAAAAAACAGGAACTGATACAATAGTTTCAGATTACTTTGATTATTATCTTGTTCAGCAATAGCTAGATTTTTCTATCAGCAGTAGCTAATACAAAAAAAAACCTAAGCAGTGTTACTAGAATTCTCAAAATTGGGACAGACCTGATAACTAATAAAACATGCTAGCAAAGAGCATATCAGTGTTTTAAAATTGCGTTAAGGATGGTACCTAAATCAAAATCCTGACAGCAGTAATTCATAATGTCACAGTGAGGAAAGGTAATGATGCCAGTTCTGTCAAAAGACTTAGGCTAAACTCATGTTTCAAGGAAAAAAGAAAAAGGAACAGCTCAAGAACTAGAAGAGAAACAATTGACAGTTGCCAAGAAATACTTATTAGGGAGGGGAAATCTGCCAGAAAAAGAATATGGTAGCGTGGAATCAGCACCTAAATTACTCATAGTCTGCAGTTACATTATACATGACATTATGAAACTCTTTTCTTTGAAATAAAAGAGATGGGTATTTCTAGAAGACTGAGAAAATTACATGAGAAATATACAGATTTGATTAATTCCTCCCTTCCAACGTCATGCTGACATATCTGCATTACCTAATTAAGTTAAAGAAAATTGGCATGAAGTTATACAAAAACCACAGTCATTTAGTTTTTTACAATCTCTAAGGAACAGACCATGACAGAATTACTGTAATTTTCCAAGTGTGCTGCTTTTACTCTCTCAAGCTGGTAAAATCCAATTTAAAGTTTTTATGAAATACATTCTTTTTGTTATTGTAGAACTTCTCAAAAATATTTTAGCATAGCATATGCAGAGAAAGTTTATTTCTCAGGGTGTAGTATTAGAAGAATTCCTGGGGTCAAACATTTAGGGAAGGATTATTTTTCATGAACATGAAGGTATGTTTTTTGAGAATCCCAGCCTACTATCAAAGTGCCAAAAGCCAACCATTAGTATCTTGATTTCAATGGCTTTAAAATTTAAAAACCAGGAATCCAATGAAACTGATTCATAATACTTAATTATGAGATTTATCACTAACTATGACGTTAAGTTATTAAGACATTAAATTTGAGAAGAACCTCCCACTCTTAAATCAGTGAGTTTATTTTGTTTCAGAATACACCACTTTGGAATTTTCTGATCTAAAGTTTGAAGGTGATTATGTTCACACTGACAAAAATTCTAATTGGGCATTTCCCTAATATTGATCAAATGTCTCTTCCCACAGTTCATGCATCAGCTGCTGGAACGTTCTCACTAATGAAGAAAAAATGCAAATATTCACACAAATATAAAGATCACTGAAGAAAGAAACTAGTATCTTGGTCTGCTGGGATAAGTGAACCGTGAAGCCCGCAGCTCTGAAACGTGGCAGCATTCTGTTTGCAGAGCACATGAGAACTTACAGTTTCACAGGTCAGACACCTGGTTTCGTTGGTCAATGTTCCCTGAAAGATCTCGTGCACCCAGGTGGGGTCAGGCGGGCTGCTGCTCTCGCTGTCCACGCTGCCGTTGGGCAGGCGCCCGTTCTGCTTCTCCTGCTTCCTCTCCTCTTGCAAGATGTCCGCAATCGTATTCAAAAGGTAGTTTAGGAACTCGTGTGCATCCTGCTGCATGTAGTTATCAAAAAGTTCTGCGAGAAAAAACAGAAGGCTTACTAACTGATCAGTTAGTGCTGTACTACAGAAAGGTTTTTAAGAGAGTCATATTTCAAAACCAGTCCTTTATTTCGCATCTTGAATCATTCACAGCAATACAACACTAACCCAAAAATGCTTACTTGATAAACAAAGCCAAAAAAATAGGGGGTGGGAAGAGGGGACAGCAAGTCAGCTTGCACTGACAGAAATCACTCAGCTGATTGAAATTACCTGAAAACTGAACCATACTGCAAGAAAACCAGGGCACAATTCAATGACCTAAACACAGATGTATGTGGGGTGCCACCTGAACTGGTACAGGTCATCCTGCCCAGCTTCCAGATGGCACTTGGATCTCCCACAAGGGCTATGCTATCTCTGCCAAGCTTAGGTCAATGTCTTGGATAACACAGATTCAGTAATAGTTACTTCTTTTCTCTCTGACCAGGAATTGCTGAGAGGAAATTTACCTGCCTATTTAAAAAGCATTCTAGATCCACAGCTAATATCATACAAGTCTTTTAATGTGCAATTGCTTCACGTTGCTGGCAGTCCAAGAATGTTCTAAGAGACAGATCTTCAGTGTACAGGAGTGGATAGGTGACTAAAAAAGATACTCAGTGAAGTTCAAGTTTTGAAATGCATACAGAGACTCCAGGGAAGCTTTACAGTCTGATGGCATCGCCTGATGGCATCCAGGAATAAACTTCAAAATGAAAAAAAAGGTCCAGGGTTATTAGCTAAGTAGGGAAACCCTGATGCTAATCTAGGTCATTTGGAGAGGTTAAGTAGTGCAATAGGTCAGGCAAAGAGTAAGAACCATGTAGTTTATTTAATGAACTACTACACTGTTTTTGAGATGAGTGAGTTTAATCTAGCCAACTGCAAGGTCTACATTTAATCAAGTAAATCAAGGCAAGGCAAGAGCTACAAGGCTCTTGAGGTAAAAGACTTGAGAGGTTCTTCACAGTGTAGTATCACAGGCCTGTCAGGGCTACATGCCCAGTCAGTAATAAGCATTAACTACAGCAAAGTGAAAGCTACGGATTGCTCATTTTACAATTAGAAGAACTTTATGCAAATGCAATGGTACACCTCCAGCTGACTTCAAGCCAGCAGCTGCTTCCCAGGCAATTAAACTTTAAGGTCATTAATGAGAAACATAGAATTGCTTGGTTTAGAAGGGACCTTAAGGACTATTCAGTTTCAACTCCCCTGCTCTGGACAAGAATACCTTCCAACAAGACCAAATTGCTCAAAGCACCATCCAGCCTGGCAGGGAACACTTCCAGGGATGGGGCATCCAGAGCTTCTTTGGGCAACCTATTCTAGTGCCTTACCACCACCACAGTTGATAATTTCTTCCTAATATCTAATCTAAACCTGGCCTCTTTCGGTTTAAAGCCATTCCTTGTCCTGTCACTACACGCCCTTGTGAAAAGCTCCGCTCCAGTTCAGAGATGTATAATATATGCATGCTATATTCAGACATTGCAAATAAAGATGAAGCAGCAGCTTTGGAGTCCAGAATACATTAAGTCTGTGTCCTCAGTCCTCACCCTGGTACATCTGGATAATGACTGAAGAGAATCTAGATTAACAGATTAATCTAGATTATAATATTAGAATTATAATTCTTTAAAAATTATCTTATTCTTCAAAATTATATACCCTTACAATAAGCACTTAATGGCATATATGATACCCATATAATTGCAGCCTGAATGTAGCTATTTATTTGTAAAAAAGGTGAGAGTATAATCATTAAAAGAGGCCCAAAAAGACAGGGGTTGAACTTCCACATCTGACTTCGTTACTGAAGGTTTTCCAATTGCCTTGCTCTGGGTAGAATTTTAGTGGCATGACATAATTACACATTACAAAGAACACTTTCTATAATGAACTTAATGGCTCCTGTGGTTTGCTTTCTGCTTTCCATCTGAATGATTCTCTGCATTTGTTACAACAAACTATTTCTGTAAATGCACCAAACACAAACACACTTACCCGAGTACACGTGCCAAAGGGAATGAGTTTCCTACTCTGCACAGGCAAGTGATTGAACAGCACTCAAGAGCTTTTTTTTAACAATATCATTACAGCTCATGGAATGCATTTGCTGGAAGAGTCATGTCAAACTAGGAATGTCATATTTTATTTCTTGTTTTTACTACGGAGATAGTCACCATTTAAACACTTTTTCAGTCTGCATTCATGGTCTTGGAAAGACTGCACCAGTATGAACGTATCTATTGCAGCAGTGTTAAGCATGGTACCTCATACAGTTTATTTAAATACAGTAATTAGAAAAAAAAGTTGTATTTTTATAAAAATGTATCCAAATTGAGTAGCAGATTACAAGGCTTCATTTATATTTTAACATCAAATAATTTTCTAGAGCATTTTGACGAATTAGCCCTGCAGGTAAGAAACAAGAAATGTGAAAAATCCCTAGAAATCTCTTGAAATTTAGGATAATGATGACATTTAAAAAACAATTTGCCAAAACTACTTAGTGGTTTTAAAAGTAGGTCAAGTTACACACATATAAATTCTAAGTCAATTTTAAAAGGTGGGGGGGATTTAATCTAGATTCTTATGGGCAAGTCATTCCACAGACTCAGAGTGGGAGACCGATTCCTCCATTCAAAAAATATTTTCTTTAAAACAAAGAACAAAGGCTTTATAGTGAATTTTGATTACAAATATTAAAGTCCCAGAAAAACAAAATAGCAAGCAATTTCATAAGCAGCCAGTAACAGTATGACAATACACTTTAGCTCTATAAGAAGAGAGGGAGAGAGAGAGAGGGAGAGAGAGAGAGAGAGAGAGAGAGAGAGAGAGAGAGAGAGAGAGAGAGGGAGAGAGAGAGAGAGAGAGAGAGAGAGAGAGAACGACAAAGACTCCCTCCCAAAACTGCTCCAGGGTCACACTCTTATCCTGGAGCCACCTCTTGTTTATACTACAGCACCAAGAGCTATAGGTATTCTACAGAGCACAAACATACAGGCATTCCACTATGCAACTTCAGAATTAAATCATAATTGCTATAATTGTTACACAAGAAAAAGAAAAAAGTTACCATTTTCTTTTCGTAATCTTGTTATAAATTTCTTGGGAGGTATTACTCCAACTTTTTTCTTCTGGGTGGCTATACTGTGGAAGAGATCAGCTAAGCATGTAAGGAGGTTCTCTTTTTTTCTTGGCTGACTCTTGTATGCTAAGACTTTGTCTCGAAATGGTCGACAAAAATAAAGTGCCTGGAGAACTGAATTGCAGTAGCACGTATTCCCAAACTACAAAATAAGAGAGAGATCTGTGAGTTTGCATTGCATTACTGTAGAGAGGTAAAATTAATTCCAAGCTGTAAGAGAGGGCATAAGCAGGGCAAACTTTCTGCAAGTAGTTTCTTCCTGACTTTAATGTAGAAAAACGTATTGATGTTGCACAAAGGATTACTATGTAAGTGCATGAAACACCTAGGCTAACTTGAACAACACTATTTAATTTTGTCTCACTTAAAATTTAACTTATTTGTAATATTTTACATTTATTTGGGTCAAAATGTTCAAAAAATACCCCCAATGTCACAACTCCCAAAATATGCTCAGGTAAAAATATCTGTCTATCACACATCAGTCACAATGGCAACGAACATGTACAGCATGACCTTGTACTGTGAAGAAATTCAGCTGAAAATGGAGAGCGTCTCACACACTTCAGGAATTAGATTCTCCAAATCTCAATAGTTGTCAGCAAAGTCCGAAATAACTACTTTAACCTGATCCTATATTTTCAGTTCTCGTTCCAGGGTGACAAGATTTGTTTAAGGAAACTCCTGAATGCCAGTGTGACATGGCCTGCTTAGGATTCAAAGCTATGGCAGTCGGTAGCTTGCAATCAAGATTGCAGGGAAAAGCGAACACAACTGGAACGTGCACACTTTGAAGGAGACAAGCCACTGGACTGAAGGAGGAAAGCAGAATCAGCAGGAAAAGCATTCATAGCCCACTTAGTAGCAGGACACCTCAGATGCTCCCCTCTCCTCAGACTCCTTTGGGCACCTGAAATCACTGACCCTGTCTGCAGCTCACCCCAACACTGCAAACATCCCCACCACACCTGGGAAGGCGTGGTGAGTCATCAGTGGATAAAGCCATTCTAATCTTACACTGCCATTCTAATTTTAAGCTGCCCTCCTCCAGTGGAACCTATTATCCAACATTGAAAGTGTGGGAAAAATCCTTATGAGGCCCACTGCAAGTAATCCAGCCTCTCAGCTGCAGTCACACAACCTGCAAATTGAAGCACACACATTCTGCAAAATGTGAAAATAACATTCAGATTTCTGTTATACAGAGATAGCAGCACATAGATAGGAAAATTCTGAGACTTTATCATTGTGATAGGAGAATTATATAGCAAAGACTGCCTTCAGAGATTATTTTAAGAGCAAGTTGCTTCAATAGAGAAAAAGAACTAAAAGCTTTCACATCTTAGGAATAACAGGGAAGTAACTACTTTTTGCTCTCTCCCAATTAAGACAAACAAGAGCACCATGCAACTACTTTCCTCTATTTTAAACGAATTAAATATTAAGAACTACGTTCTAAATAACCAAGACACACTCAAAGAATAAGAAAAGATATTAAAATGTCATTAAGGTATCCATATTAAAGTCATGAATTAAACATCCATTATTTTTCTTTATTTAAGCTAGGAAAATGCTTATATTAGCTTCTTTGGGGTCCAAATCTGCAAATAAGTCAATGAACTTAAGAGGAAAACTGGGGCTTTTTACCTTAAAGGAAGTTGATGAAATCACACAGTAGCTTCTGTCAAAATATTTAATACTGTAAGCTGTTTAGGAGTTTATAATTAGAAACAGCCACAAAAAGAGAACTACATTAAAGTGTTAAGAAAGTTCTTAAAATTTAATCAAACTGGAAAACTGCTAAAATTTCTACAGCAAGTGTCAAAAGATGAAAAGCAAGCAAATTAGAATTTTCATAAGATTCCAATTTTTAAAAGGAGCAGTCTGATGATAAATTAATTAGAATGGCAACCATGTGGTGAGAGATGAACAAACTATGAAGACCTCGGAACACTGAACAAAATTCAGATTAATTTAATATTAATGTATGTTAACCTACATGCCTGTGAGTATGAAATAAAAGCAACCAGATTAAGTTCATAAAAGGCTTTCTCCAACCAGATTCAGAAACACAGCAGGCAACAGGAGAATGTTTGAAAGCAAACTCCTGAAGAAAATTTAATTAGTTCACATTTGTTTTATCGCTAAAGCATCAGTCCTTATCACCTCAAAACTCCAAATTTTTTTAAAATTAAATGCTCCCAGTCATGAAAAAAAATTAAAAGGCATCTGTACAAAACATCAAGCAGGAAGTGGTTGGGAGGTTTCTAGACTATGGAACTACTCAATTTGATAAATGAACAAATGCTGCCCTTACCACCATTATTACTTCAGTTCCCATCTTTAGAGAAACACCCAACGCCTTACTCCAGCCTCCCCATGCTCCCACCACCCACTCAACACCTCCACTCTGCTTTCTAATCCTGGACCTTCAGCAGCGGGCTGTGCTGCCAAGAGACACCTTCCTCCTCCCCAGCTCAGCCAGCGCTGCCTCAGAGCCACAGCACCCAGGAGCGCAAGCCCTGCACTGTGGGACTTCATGCCTCTCCAGCCTGCCTCAGAACAGCAGTAGAAAATGTAATAAAAACCTTGTTGGGATCATCTTATGCTGTGCATGACTAAGAGATGTTAAAAAAAAAAATTCACATTTTTTCATCAGTTCGTATTGCTCTTCTGCTCTAAATTCTGAGAAATCAGATTGTTTCACAAAAATACTGCATTCTCTGAATTTTACACACACACACCTTTTTTTTCTCTTTTAAATTCTGAACCTAAATTTTTTAATTCCCAAACCTATGTGGAAAAATGAGACAGTAGGCAAAACAAAAACACTGTGCAACAAAACCACTGCACACCCGTGAACACTTAATAGTCTTATAGCTTACTCCTCTGATGCACATACAACTGGGAAGAAATGCATTTGTTGAACCCCATTCAACAAAGAAATTTACAAGAACTTAGATCTATTCGGAACACAGTCTTTGAGCAGCTCTAGGGTTCCTCCCAGCTCTGATGCACTGGCAGCTCCAACAATTTTTCCTTGTTGCAATGAGCCATTCCAGTGAAAAGGATTTCTCCAAAACACATGGATCCACTGCAAGAAACTGCATAACCCAACCTCCTGCTCTAGAAATCTAGTAAATTGCTGAAGAGTTTCCAAGGCAGTTCTCTGAGATTAAAAATCTTATTTCATCCTAACTGGATAAAATGATTGATTTAATTTGTGAAGCACATAGATTGGAACAGTTTGCATTACTGCACTGAAGAGGGAAATAATAAGCAGACTTGATGCTTCTGGTTGTCCGGATGCATGGGACATCACACTCCTAATGCTTTCATCTTACCACGTATCTTGGATATTTCCTGCTGTTTTAGTGAATGATATTGTCCCTTTAAGTCTAAGATGAATTTTCCATTCCTATCAACCATCTGGTCTTCCATATGTTTCCCTTAATTGCCCTTTCTTAGGTCTTCTTTTACCTCTCAAATTACTCTTTCAGCATATCCTCTGAACAATCCCTAGATTCTACCACAAAGCTGGAAAAGAGGTAAGACAGTGCTTTTGCCTCCTCCTCTTTTATGCTACCTCTGGAAAACTGACAGATCTCTATTCCAGAATTGTCATCTTTATATAAAATGCTTTTCTGTATCCCAGACAGCTCAAATGGTCATCTATTGCACAGTTAGAAGCAAGTTACAGACTTCCACATTATTTCCCTTTTTCCCATTATCCTGGAGAAAGTTAGGACAAACAAAATCAATAAACAAATTAGAAAAACTTAGCAGTAAATGTTAATAAGCCCCTAGGAGATTCACTTCCTGTAACTGCTACAAATAAATTAGAGAAATCAATAAAGACAAAAACTGTGATTTCTAATAGTACAAACTTATTATCTAATTATCTAGTATTTATTTTCATTATCTCTGTCATTCTTTCTAGTAATTTGCCATAGCTTGATACTTCCACTTTTCCTGGCAGATTTACATGCTGCAAGCCTATTATGCATTGATGGTGTATATGTTCTGTGTTAGTAAACACAACCTGCAGAACAGATCTGAAAACTACTCAGGCATCAACATCACAATTTCCTTTGCCAACCACTGTACCTGAAAACCAGCATCAGTGTGCCATAAACGTAATGAGATCCCATTTTATTGTTTGTTACAATTCAAAAAATTTTAGCCCATAACATTTTATTGTTTGAAGCTAAAATAAGCAAAATTCCTGTAGGAGACAGAAAATTAAAAGTACTCTGATATATTGTAGCTGCCTGCTTCTTAAATCAGTGAAATTACAAATATCCACTCAAGTTTCTACTCTCCCTTGAGTACAAAAAGCCCAAATTTGTTGGTCTTCATAACATATTAAGAAGATTGTCCTTTATTGAACCTTTTCTTAAGGGTAAAAACTACGTAAAACCTTAAGATTGGGTGTACAATACAATTTCACTGTTTAGTCTTAAATCCTCTCTGGACGTGGACCAGAAATTAGGAAAACAGTTTATCTGTCAATAGAGTAACAGATTTGAGAAACCCTGTCACTGGATAAATGGAAAGCCTCAGCTGAGCTGCAGAACTGACAGGCAGTAATAGTGAAACTGCTGCGGCATCTGGGGGGTATTGCAGCTTTCATGAGAAAGGAAAAGAAACCACTTGAATTTAAGCAATGGTGTTTTGAGATGCATGGAAGTCAGCTTGTCAGTGTTTACTGACTCCACAGTGCATGCTCAGATTACAGACCCTTGAACCAGCTCAGTGCTAAGCACCTGGAGGTAGAGACACCTTACAGTACCAGCACAACATTTAAATAATCAGTTTCATTAAGAAAAGCAAGACAATAGCTCTTGTTAAATCTACCTGGTTTAACTATGTAGTTTCTGAAGCCCAATAAAGAGACTAATTCAATATTTCACATCAGTATAATGCTATTTCTAACAAGATACACTTTTCATCAGTAATATCAGAAATTCAAGTTTAAATCACTCCTTAAAAATAATTATTGATTCAAACAATCCAATATATTTCTTATTGCTTTACACTTTGGGCTGTAATTTTTTTTTAATCTTAATATAAATAGCAGATATAAATACTTCCTATCATCATAGTCTTTCACAAGATGTTTTTTTCTAATGTGTTTATTTAACTTTGTTGGCATATTATGAACAACAAGGTACATATTTTAAATAGCCTTCTTTAAGACTTACATATTTTAATAACATGAAAGCGATGTAAAAATTACCCTACAACTAATATAAAGAAATAAAAGCATTCAATAAAGAGCCCATTTCAACAATCCAGTAGCATATTTCAACAAATACACTAAATACTGAAACACATTTTAATAGGATGGATATTCAGTGATTATATCTTTCAGAATTCTAAGTATTCACTCATCCCAGTCTTGCAGTTTAACCAACCCATTCTGTCCTTTCAAAGCAGTAAGTTACGGTCTGAGACTCACATTAACCAAACCAAAATAGTGCTCATTGACTGGAAATTGTTCCGGACCAATCTCTTTCTCCAAAGCTGAGGCATTGGCGCCCTAGGAAAAAATCAAAAGCAGCAAAATATTAGTGTAGCAACAGTGAAAGCAGCTGAGGAAAAAAGTTTTTCAGCAAGGATAAACAATCAAAACCAACTAACCATCCATAAAAAAAAACCTGCAAAACACCTGATCACAACTACAAAATACCCTAGAGACGTTTCCAAATATATGCTGTTCAAAAGCATCTCAAAGTTATATATTTTTTATGTATTTTCATGCAATTACACTGTTTCAATGTTCTTTCTCTATTATTTCCAGACTCAAATTACTTTGGAAACACTTGCACTAATACAGGATGCAAAGCAGGTCATACAAGGCCAACTGGTGAGTCTAAGAAGCATAATTTTCATACTGTAAAGCACATTCCAGGAAAAGTTAAGAGATGCAGATTGTTCACAGGAAGCAAAGAGACTGGTCTGTTCCCCTTGCTCTGAAAACATAGGTTGTGCAAAGTGCTTCCCTAAATGTCTTGAACTTCGTAAAACTAAAAGGAAATGCAGTACAACTAGTGATGGTGGTCTGCAATCTTTGCCCAAAAAATCTGTTGGGTCTGATACTCAAAAAGAAGTCAGAGAATGTGACTTTGGTCACTCAGTGGCTGTTGGCTGAACTGGTGCAGTAAACACTGTGTTTTCAAAGAAAAGTGTTGTTTTCTTTTTTATTTAGAGACAAAAACCTGTATGCTGGAAAATTCAGACAACAAAAAACCCTAGCTTCGGATAAGCTCTTACACTGATTGCTTTTAGAGAAATGGAAATGTATACAACTTTTTGCACTCAACAAAACTGATATCTATATACCTATAACTATTTATATATATCCTCAATGAGACGAATACATGAGCATGAATATACCAGCAGGAATGTAAGTGCAGCTAAAACAGAACATAATATGCATCAAAGAACCTTAAAACCAGGGGCAACTCCATCCCAACAAGTTCATTTTTTACACCAAAGATATAGGAAACAGCCATTACGTGGCATATTACAACAATTATATTACATCATGGACTACACTAAAAACAGCACACAGGATTGCACAGATTAATTGCAGACAGGGAGCAGTGGAACAGAATGAATATTAGAACTGTGTCAAAAATGTATACAATTAAAATGAAATGGTGATGTGGCATCTGCCGCAGTACGACCGTGGTACTGCAGAACTTCACACAAACTACCTTACCAGTTCTGAAACTGGAAGCATGTGCTCAAAGGTCCATTAGGAGATAATAACTTTAACCAGAACAGGGCACAAGCCATGTAAACTCCACGCTTGACACACCACAGCTCTGCTCCATTCACAGCATAGCCCCAGCTGCTGCCATCAGTCACATCCCCTCCAATTACCCAGTTTGATAAAGCCTCCCCTTTCCTGAGGATTTAGCTACAGGGCTTGTTACTTTAGAAGGTGTTTTCAAATGGAGATTATAGTGGTGAGGAAAACGGGTATAAACCCTCATTTAAGATTAAAGCACTCTGAGACTACGAATATTTAGTTTTGCAGCCTTATTTAAATGCAACCACAAGCTCCGGCAAGGTGAGTATTACAAATAAACTAGGAAAAAGAAGGAACTGTGGGGACCTTTTACGCTATTGTTAAAATCTCTACTTCTTTACAAATAAATTCAATAACAGGTTTAAGGAAATTCTTTCTCTTTGCAAAGCTAGGGTGGAGCAGTTACTTCATCTTTGAAAGGAAAATGTTATGATATAAACACTGATGTTTCTGTTTGTGCAGACCTGAACACTGTATTTAGTTTTCTAGCACAGTAAAGATCTAACTTTGGCTGAGATGCTACCAGATCATCTTAGTTTTCTGATTATTCAAAGGCACTTCATTCACTTCATTCAAGGCTCAGACTTCCATGTGACTTCAAAGCATGGCATCATCTATGTTTAAATGCAGCTGTTTATGAATGTTAGTACAAAGCAGCATGGATGTTTTACACCAACATAAAACCCCTTGAGCTACTCACACTTCCCTTTACAGCTCTTTTTATCTGTCATAAAGGATGCTATTTCTCCCTCCAAAGTAATCATTTCTACTGTGCACAGTGTATTGGTTGCAAAGAGCAGAAACACAGCGAGAGTACACTAAAATGAGTGTTCACAACTGACCCATAAAAGTTATTTTAAAACCTAATTATCCCTTGCTTCAAAGCATTTCCCAGTCATGATTACAGTCCACATTATCAGCTCCAGCTGACTCTTCCATTATGCAAATACAGACGCAGAGGGGGAGCACTGCAGAACCACCAACTACTATGGTACTGTATCATCTCTTGGACATTAGGACACAGGAGGTTTAAGGCATAAGTGGGAGTGACTCTCTTTTCATTGGCCAAGATGGAATTACAGGACCTGAACTAGACTTGGGAAATTTCAGGCTGTGCTGTATGCTGTGGAGTAGAGAATTTATTCCTCTGCCACTTAACTGGAATCCCCAGGGAAAATCCCCAGATAAAACTCTCTTTTTTGGTGGCTCACCTAATAACAGATACAACAGGTGTTCAGTCTCCACCCTGCATCGTGGCTTTGATATTACACCGGGGACAGAAAGGAACATCATTAAGTTTGGTCAGCACATCCACCTCCATTTTCCCTTGTTCTTCTAAGGGGAAGGACACATGGTCATTATCCAGAAACGAGAAGCAACAGAGGCACAGCAGAAGTCCAAGAAGATGATAATATTGCAGTAGTACTGGGCTTTACCACTTTTTGCATCACATCAGTGTAAGAGCCATACAGTTGCACAACCCAGCAGTGCCTTACATTAACCCCCTTCCAGCACAGAGACGAGAGTACAGGCAGAGAGAACACTCATTTCTCACAGCTGATGAAATGCAGCTTTACAAAGTAGAAAGTTCAGCAACTAAGGTGTGTTTACAAGAACACAATATGAAATCAAGATTTGCTTTTTATTTGTTACTGAAGTTTATCAATGATTACACAAAGATCTTCACAAACCTAATGAAAGTTAGGTGTAAAACTGAACTACTGCAGACTTCATCTTTCAAAATGGTAAGTCATGTAAGTAACCTTTATTTAATCATGTTCAAATCAGTTGAACATTAATTGCTTTATCTCCTCCATCAAGTTAAAAAAAAAGTTACACTATTGGATTTATAAATTTTGCCTTAAAAGCTAATTTCTTAATGAAGGGATAAGAATCTGTGTTTACCATGGAAGTACCTTAAGTAAATCTCTCAACTTTTTTTTTTCAAAAGAGCTTGAGTTTTGTAAAAATCAACACATTTAACACTAACTAGATGAGGGCTTCATTTCAGTTTAGTGGAATGAAAGCCCAGGAAATATAGTGGAATAGAAAGGTGTATTATCTTCAAAATGTGTACAGTTGTATTTTCCTGATTTTCATATTTTACAAATATACATCATTCCAAATTTCTAAAATAAACTATAAAGCCCACTGATGCCACACATTTCTACAAAAAAAGGGCAGAAAAAAACCAAAGCACAGACAAACCTAGATGCAGTTTTTTGTTTGTTTAGTTTTTCACTTGCTGGAACAATATAATGAAATGAAACTGTGATGAATATAATGAAATTTATTAGTGCTTTTCTTACAGCCTCAGAGGCCACACTGTTGTTGTGGTGTTTCATGTTGAACTAGTCCTTCTGAGACACACCAACAGCTGACACAGGGATAAGATAAGTGGAGCCAGTCTGTAAAACAAATCAGCTGGTGCTCAGGACCTGACATACACACCTTGGGTTTCAGAGCATTCTTGCCAGATTAGTTATAGGCTGGTTTTGTGACTGAACACCAGCTGCAGCTGATCTATGTTGTCTGCTGTAGTTTCCTCCAAAAGTCATCTAATTTGTGCACTCTAAGACTGCTCCCAAATGCAAACCAAAGCATGGTAAATTGGGATACCACCCTACATTAAAAATACTGTCTGAAAACATGTCAACAAGCAGGCAAACAATTGCAGTTTTAAAGTGTCCTACCTTGTCATTAGCATCCAACCAAGCAGGCAGAATTTCCTTTACAAAGCCTTGATTCATAACCAGCCTAACGTGCTTGGGAGCTTACACATCTTACTAGCCTTGGATAGGGGGGTTTGATCTATCCCTTTCTAGAATAAAGATCACTTGATAGCTTGGTGGGTCATCGTTTGAATTGTTTATCAGCTTTACCCTCTAATTTAACTAAGCTGTAAATTTCCTGAGAAAAATCAGAATTTGACCTTTAAAACAAATTTCTTGTCTGAAAACTTACATTTGTCACCAGCATCCTGAAGATCCCTTTCTCCCTTCACACATGCACTATGCAAGATCCTTCCCTACAATGCTCTCCACCTCACTCAAGAAGCAAGGAACAATACTGACAAAACCAAACCATGTTGCACAGGTATATGTAAGTGAAATTTTTTAAACATGACCTTATCTATAGGTAAATTAACCATACCACCACAAAACACAGAACAATTACTCTTTTTAGTGACATTATAAAGGCATTATAAGTAAAAGGGAAACTCAGTACAGGAATAACAATGCTCCTGAACAAGTGTAAAATTAATGGAATTATTTATAATTTGCAAAAATAAATCTCAGTACAGAAGCACTCATTAGGGCTTTCCTTTTTTTCCCCCTCGATTAGAAAGATTCTTCTTTGTCTATACAACTAGTGAAGATAGAATTTCACAGCCCAATGCACTAATTAATGCACTGTGACAGGAATTCTCTGTTAAAGAAGAAAAGCAGAATTCTACTCTTCCGGTTACATTTTATCAGAATATGTGAATTCATACATTTCTGTGTATTCATGTGAATCAGAACTAAGAGCAAAGAGAGGGAAGAGCTATCTTTAATCAGCTTATATTTGTTACTTCAATTGCAACCAAAACTGAAACACAGTTCTTTTGATACTGGAAGCAGCAGTGAAATGTGAGCGGGATTCAATAATCCTTGTTGTTTATTTCTTTGCAAAAGAACATGCATTATTAATGCATGAAATATTTGGATAGTTTCAGTCAA